ACAGTTCAAAGACATCGCGTCTACTGATCAGCTAGTAAAGTTAATGTGCTTTCACAAGGGAAGGTTCAAAGGGTAACACCTACCTATCCTACGCAGGTTTTAACTGTCGGACCATAACATGTATTTGTGTTAATTTCATTCATGTGGGGGATTGTTGGAAAAGTATTGAATGAAATTTATGAAACATAAATTGAACTTTTGAAACCGTGTTTAATCTTAACTTGGAACATTGTCTTTAACTTAAAACTTGTAACTTGTTTTAATGTTACAAGAACTCTTAGCTCATATTTATTAAGTTTTAAATGAAGTGAGTTAATGAAGTATGGCTTATCTTAGCTATAAAAGAGTCTAGCCATCTTTTGAAGAAGTACACACCAGAAAAAAGAATTCAATTGTTAAAGTACAATTCCCCATTTTTTAAGTGTTTTGGTCCAGGCATTATTCCAGTTCGCCGAATTTGTTTCGGTTTTTCCGTTGTATCCTGGGAAACAGACGCTCATACGGGGCGGATCTGTTTTAAGGACACTGTGTTATCACAGGCCTCGGTATTATATATGATAGTCATCTTATTTTTATTATCCCGTTAAAGTTCCCTACAAATTTATGTCAATATACTCTTCTTTGTGACCAAAACATCTATGAGTTTATATATGTACTGGTAAAAAAAAAAGACTTTTTTCGAACCAAATAATTTCGAGCTGAATATTATCCCATCCTTCGAACACTGTTCTATTAAGATTTTAACCATCAGATCAACACACGATCCGTAAAAAATCGTGTAAATGTGTGTGATCTGAACGGCTAAAACTACCCTCCCCACACAGGTAAGATCGAATTTTTCGAATTCGCCCATTTTCGAGTCAAGAATATATCTTGTTGATCATCTTTTCTACGTCCTTAAAACTGTTTTAAGTTTTGTCACAATCAACAAACATACTTCCTTCCACCAAAAGCAGAGTAAAAAATTGCACTTGAACAAAGCTAACTCCACACCATTAAAACAAGAAACCCAACACACAACTTTAAGACAAGTATTATTTCTTCATTATCATCATCAAATAGACAACAACTGCAAGTACTCATCATAGTAAACTTGCTCCAACTCCAACTCCCCGGAGACCGACACAAGGCAGCCACCACCACCACCACCACCACCCTCCTCCAGCTCGAGCAGCGGGTACCACGGAACATACGACGCCACCTCAGCAGGCCCCCGGCTGTCCAGGCTGTCGTAGCTGCTCGTCCTCGACGAGACCCTAATCGGCTTCGGCAGATACACCTTGGTCTTCTCCTCCTCCTCCTCCTCCTCCTCGGGCTCCTCTGCCTCGGGGGCCGGCCCATTCTCCTTCTCCTCCTCGTCCTTCTTCTTTTTCTTCCTCCTCTTATTTTTATCTTTTGGGGAGGTTGGGCTCTGGTGTTTCGTGGTCCGGGCGGGCCTAGTGGGCTGGTAGGGTCCGGGTTTGGGCCGGAGCCCGGCGGTTTGGAGTTTCTTGAGAAGGTGGGTGTTCCAGTAGTTCTTGATCTCATTGTCGGTTCGACCTGGCAGGCGGCCCGCAATTAGGGACCACCGGTTGCCGAGGAGGGCGTGCAGGCGCACGATCAGGTCCTCCTCGTCTTGGCTGATGTTGCCGCGCTTTATTCCCGGCCGGAGGTAGTTCATCCACCTCAGCCGGCAGCTCTTCCCGCACCTCAAAAGCCCTGTATTTGTATTTTTTCAGTTAAACAATAATGTCATAAATAATCTGTTTCTATTTTATTTTTTTTATTTTTTTTTGGAGATTCTACAATCACGTTACAGAACGATTATATTAAAGTTTGTAACCACTAGATCAACTATCAACGACGGTCACATTATGATCTAACAATTACAAATCACGACGGAAAGAAGATTTACCGGCTTTCTTGGGGAGAGATCGCCATTGGCCCTCCCCATTTTGGAGGATAAAATTAGAGAGAAGATTGTCTTCTTTAGTAGACCAAGGCCCTCTCCTTAAACCAACTTTTGAGCAGCAAGGTGCTCTTCCCATTTTTTTTTTTTTTTTCAAAGGTGGACAAACTCTTTCTCTCTCACACACAGAGCACACAGTGGAGGAGAGAGAGAAGAGAGAGAGAGAGATGTGGGGATTGGGCACAATGGCAGCCACAGGGTTGGTGGCTTTGGGCTGCTCTTTATAGGCCAATCACAGCAGACTATTATTTACTATTCACATCAACAAATCATAGTGTTATTTGGGGGCGGAACGAGTGCAGCCCCACACAGATAAAACGCACAAAGACAGAAAATGTCCAGATGAAGCTTAAGTGAACTTCCACAAAGATGAAACACACGAAGATAAGGAAAGCCCATATGAAGCTCAAGTGAACTTCCAACGGGGAAAAACGAAACGAGTGCGGCCTCACGTAAATGAAAGTCACAAAGACATGGAAAGCCTAGAAGCCTAAGTGAGATTTCATCCTAAAACCGTGGGAGGATTAGTAGTCCACTAAACTTATAAATTAAGTCTATTTTTCATGTATAAACGATGCGGGACAACTCACCAGTGAATATTCTGCTATCATAAAAAAAATCTTTAATTAAATGATAAAATGAAATGTGAATATGTTATAAATAAATTAATTATGTAACAAGTTGGGGGCTTATTTATTTTATGTGTTCACATGGCTGCTCGAATTTCGAGGTGTCTTCAACTCTTATTCAATTACACACTGTTACAGTTGGTACTTAATTGGTGGGATTATTATTAATATTATTATTATTATTATTCGATATTCTATGTTTTTTTTTTTTTTGGGTCATCAAAGCATTAAGGCCTAAACACGTTGAATAGTTAACTTTGGAAAAATGATTGAAAGTTATACTAAGTTAAGATTAGTTATTAGTTTTTTTTTTTCCCGTTGAAAATTAAATATTTTAACATGCTCGTGGACCACGACTATTTGACATTCATTAATGTGAGTTGGCATTAATTTAATACTTTTTTTAGATCAGATATTTTTTTTACAATAGTGTGTTTTTTAAATTTATGCAAGTATATGTATTATCAAGACTTAATGATTACAAAGATGATAATTGTATGTAAAGGATGACAAAAAAAGTGCAATTTGATTTAGTACACTAATTTAGTTGTTTCCATTTTTATTAGCGTTGAACATGAGACTTGGAGAAATCTGAACAGTTCTGGAAACCGAATTGAATTCACCCCGAAACGAATACTACTCGTTGATCATTTGCCTTTATCTGAATAGAATAAAATCGAACCAAGAAAGTAATTGTAGAGATTTTTCAAATATCCGTACTTAGGATCGAGCCAAACCATCTCATAAATTTAACGATCTCCAAATTTCGGTACGGTTTCAAAGATTTCGTAATCTGTGAAACCGTATCGAGTTCTTGCTCACCCCTAATTTTCATTCACTAATTTTGATGGTAATAATTGGGTACAATAACTTTCAAATTACATGAGTCGATCTCTATTTGATTATTCCATGTACGTGGTTTCAAATTGTATTTTCTGATAAATGATCAAACATTTAGGTAACTATACGAATCTAAATGAAGTTCCGGCTTAACGTTCGTGTGAAATCATCACTGTCGATTTCGACAACCACTACATATACAACCAACTCATTGTCGAAAATTAGTGAACGACGTCTTTATTTTGTTCGTTTTTATGTCTAACAAATTTTTAATTTATTAACAGATTTACCGACGAGAGTCTTAGTTGGCCTAGCCTTTTATCTCTTGGCTAGCTTGTCCATGACTCCTGGGTAATTCCCAGGACCGATGGGCCGATCCTCTCTTCATTTGCTGGCTTGTCGACGAACCTTCCAGACTTCATTATCGATACCGCTGCCTACCTAGCCTATTTTTGGCTTAGAGTTTGATTTTTTAGATTTTGTGTTCATAGTTGATGGGTTTCGATTTAAAATTATAACCGCTTTGAACGAAATCGACATGAAATAAAAGTAACGTATTAAATTGCAAGCTCAAAAATTTAAACATAAAATAAAAGTACTGTATTATTATTATTATTATTATTATTATTATTATTATTATTATTATTATTATTATTATTATTATTATTTTTTCAGGCCATACGATCCCTGACATGTGATTTGATTTAAAAAATAAAAATAAAATCTGCTTTTATTTTATCTAGCCATGTTTTTTTTTTCCAAACGATAGATAATATTCACTCAAGAAACGAGAAAGAGTCTTACAAACGGTGGTCCACTGACCACAATATTGCCTAGCACCATAGAAATCTAACCTGCTAAACATTAACAAAGCCATTCATGGCAAGAACAAGAAGAAATGGCCTCAAGGGCTAATGAAGAGGCTAAACAAATAAAATCTGAGGAAGAGACATCAAAGGAGCAAGAAGTGCTTAAATCTGCTAAAATATAAATGTTGTCTGCTATGTCATTCTTCACCCCGTTAAAAGAGTGATTGTTATTCAAATTCCTTGCTACAGCTTCATCCTCCACTAAGACTTCAAGCACTTTCCACTCCTTCAATAAAGCTTTCCACAAGGCTTGATGAATCCCATGCAGAAGAGCCTCCAAAACATCATAACAGCTAGGGAGAAAGACCTGCCATTTCATGGTCATAGAATTTTGGTTCTTGATCACGGCTACACATCCAAATCCACTCCCCATGCCTGGAACAGAGCAAGCACTGACAAATAAGCATATTTGCCCTACTTGGTCCAAAGCAGCTGAGATAGATGGCCCAATCTTTACACCTGCAAATTCTCTCCATTCCTCAGAAGATTTCCTAATTATTTCTCTGTTATCATAGGATTTCTTCTCGAAGATGCATAGGTTTCTCGTCCTCCATAGCCACCATAGAATATATACAGTCAGTTGCACTCTATCCTCCCAGCACTCACCTTTCTTGGCATTGCATAGATCAGACCACCAACCTTTAAAATTGTCAGGCTTAATGAGTTTCTGGTTCCAGGAAACTGGAGCAATACTCCACACTTTCTTAGCTTTATCACAATGGAACAGCACATGTACAAGAGATTCAATCCCTTCCCCACAGATTTGACACCAAGATGTAGGCAATATACCTCTAGCATGCAGTTTTTCAGCAACAGGTAAAGAATCATGAATACACCTCCATAGAAAAGATTTTAGCTTTGGTTTCAGCTTGATGGCCCAGGTCTTCTTCCACATTTTCCTCATCAATTCCTCAGAGTTGCTTGAACATGGAGCATCTTTGTCAAGATAGGCCTTCTTCAGAATTTCTTTGTAGCAGGACTTAACTGAAAAGAAACCCTCTTTACCAGGTGCCCAGATGAATCTATCTTTAGCCCCATTATTAGGAAGAGGAATGTTGACAATTTCATTAGCTTCTTCCTCAGTGAAAATTTGGGTTATTAGCTGATGATTCCAGCTTTTACCATCAGAGTCAAGAAGATCACAAACCCATTCAACTCTCAAATCACGACCTCTAAGTCCCACTGGTTTGGAGTTTTTGATATTAGGAATCCAGGGGGATTCCCAAATCCTGATGTTTTTTCCATCCCCCACTCTCATTCTAAGTCCAAGGGCTAGGGCTTCTCTGGCTTTAGCCCAACTCTTCCAGACCCAGGAATCTTGACCTTTGACAGGAGCATTACACATCCCTCCTTTGGGGAAATATTTTGCTTTCAACAATCTGCTCATTAGGAGATTAGGGTGTGTGATAACCCTCCATAGTTGTTTGGCCAGCAGTGCTTGATTGAAAGCAAATAGATCTCTAAAACCAAGGCCCCCTTTACTTTTCTCAACACACATTTTGTTCCAGCCAACCCAAGCCTGTTTATTCTTCCCATCTATTTCTCCCCACCAGAATCTTCTTATTTGGGCATTAACATTATCACATATAGATTTGGGAATGCAAAAACATGAAAGCACATAGACTGGTAGAGCATTTATAACAGACTTGATTAATACCTCTTTACCAGCTTGAGACAGTAACTTCCCTTTCCAGTTTTGCAGTTTAGAGGTAGTGGCTTCTTCTACAAATTTGAAAATCCCCTTCTTTGCTCTTCCAATCACCATAGGCAGGCCTAAGTAATTAGTGCTTTGGTGCCATTTCATTCCACCCAGCCATCTGCATACTTCATCTCTAGTCTCAGCAGGAGTGTTTTTGCTAAAAAAGCAAGAAGACTTCTCAAAGTTGATAAGCTGCCCAGAATTGTCACAGTAATCTTTCAGAATCTGCTTAATGCATAGAATGGAGCTTTTGGCAGTGTCACAGAATAGAAGAGCATCATCCGCAAAGAAGAGATGAGAGACCACTGGCCCTTCTTTACTCACTTTAACCCCTTGCACACTCTTTCTGAGGACAGCTTGTTTCAACAGGTTTGAGAAAATTTCAGACACCAGTATAAATAGATAGGGAGATATGGGATCTCCTTGTCTAATTCCCCTACCTGATTTCAGAAAACCACCCACTTCCCCTCCAATATTAAAGGAGAAGTTCACAGTACTGATGCATTCAAAAATCCACCCCAAGAATTTTTTATCAAAGCCATTTTGTCCAAAACAGCCATAAGAAAATGCCACTCGACACGGTCAAAGGCTTTGGCCATGTCAAGTTTAATAGCAACAAAACTTTTCTTCCCATATCTGTGGTTTTTCAAAAAGTGAAGACACTCGTGTGCAACCACAACATTATCCAGGATTTGCCTTCCTGGAACAAAAGCAGCTTGACTGGGGCTAATACAACAGGCAATCACCTTCTTGAGCCTTGTGGCCAAAATTTTGGATATTATTTTATATACAACACTACAAAGGCTGATAGGCCTATAATGAGAAATTTTGGAGGGGTTTTTAATTTTTGGGATTAAGGAGATAAGAGTGTGGTTTACACTTTTGGGGATTCTAGAACAGGTGAAAAAATCCTGAACAGCTTCAAAAATACAGGTATTGATTTTATCCCAAGAAAATTGGAAAAACAAGGGAGACATACAATCTATACCGGGGGCTTTGTTAGGGTTCATATCAAATAAGGCCTTTTTCACCTCCTCCATTGTAACTGAGGCTGTGAGGAGTTTGTTCTGGACAGCCGAGATTGATTTGGGCAGCCCTTGAAAGATACTTGAGTTAATTTCAGGTTTGGAAGAGGTGAAAAGAGGGGAATAGTGATTCAGAACTTCATCCAAGATTTCCTCAGAGGATTGGCATTCTTGATCAAATCTGTTCTTGAGCTTTTCAATGGAGTTCACTTTTCTTCTTTGGGCCGTGTGTGCATGAAAATACTTAGAGTTTTTATCCCCTTCTTGCAGCCATTGAACTCGGGATTTTTGTCTCCAGAATGTTTCTTCATCTTGATAAGCTTTTTGGAGTTTAATGTTTAGCTCAGCCCAACATTGCCACTCTCTATCTCCCCCCTGTTTGCCCATCTCAGCCAGCTTATTTGTACAGAAAGAGATGATCTTGGCTGAGTTTGAGACCCAAGTTTTCTTCCAGTTCAATAAAGCCATCCTACAGTTTGTGATTTTTCTCTGCACCCTGATAAGAGGAGTCCCCATCACTGGCACCTTCCATGCTTTATCAATCACCTCTAAGGCCTCTTCTTTTTTAACCCATCTCTGATCAAAGGAGAATCTATGCTTTCTCTTATCATTGGTTGGTTTGGCTTCCCACAGAATGGCATAATGATCTGATGAAGTTCTTTGGATGTGTCTTACAATTGCCTCAGGGAATTTGATCATCCAGTCCAAAGAGCAGAAACATCTGTCAAGTCTTTCTTCCACGAAGTCAGCTCCCTTTCTATTATTTGCCCATGTGAAGGGGTATCCCTGGTATTGAATTTCACCCATTTCCATGTTCAGAATAAAGTTTCTGAAAATTTCAAAGCTAGCCTCAGCTCTCTTCTTGCCTCCTCTTTTTTCTTCATGCCCCGTCAAATCATTAAAGTCCCCTCCAAGCCACCACATCTTCCCCCATTTGGTCTTGGCCTGCAGTAGATAGTCCCATTGAGAAGACCTAATAATAGGTTCAGTATCAGCATGCACAAAAATCACCCAAAATTTCTCATCTTGCTCATTCCAGCTGCATTCTACTTCAACACAAAATTGAGTCCTTTCTATTATACTTAATTGTTATATAATAAGGTGTAACATATTGCTGGATAGTCAATTTTTTGTTAATGGAAAGATATTATTGATCGTGATATTATAATGATTAATATTCAATAATTATGATATTTAATACCATTTTTTGTCATATTTTTACTAAGTTATAACTATTAATAATCAATAATTAAAATAAGTGATAATTATCATGATAAAGATGGTCATACTAATAAGAGTAACAATATTTCTATTTGCTTTCGTAACTTCGTTGCGTGTTGTGGAACACTTTGAAATTCAGCAAATATATAATTATATTATTAAGTTTTTTTTTGGAAAATTTGGTAAATTTGGACTTTATCAATTTTCAAAATCCACCGTACGTTGGTAGGCGTACACACTATATACACAAAGTCAAATATAATTATCTCATTTAAATAAAATTTTACCTTGCGCAGTTGACATTATTTTCAAAATACATGATGTTAGAATTTGGGAAAAATATATTCTATATTATTCAAAAGACATGTACACATATATATAGGAACATAATGAGCCTAAATCTAATCCTACAATATATATATACAAAATATATTATAACCATATATACAAAATATATTCTAACACCCCCCCCTCAAACTCAAGGTGGTATAGTAGATATCAACTTGAGTTTGCTAAGAAGTAAACAAAAGCGACCGGGAAGGAGAGACTTCGTGAAGACATCCGCTATCTGATCCGAAGAGGAGACAGAAACAAGTCGTACAGTCCCATGGGTAACATGCTGGCGAATAAAATGACAATCAATCTCAATATGTTTGGTACGCTCATGAAACGTATCATTATGAGACATCTTGACAGCGCTCTGGCTATCACAATGAAGAGCAGTAGAGGATGACTGAGGGACACCAAGATCAGCAAGTAATCGACGCAACCATAATAGCTCTGCGGTGGAATCAGCAAGAGCACGATACTCAGACTCGGCACTCGAACGGGAAACCAAGGTTTGCTTCTTACTGCGCCAAGTGACAAGTGAATCACCTAAGAAGAAGCAATACCCGGTAGTGGAGCGACGATCGGTAGGATCTCCAGCCCAATCTGCATCAGAGTAGCCGCTAAGGGACAAGGAAGAACTAGCCGAGAAATGTAAACCATGCAATAAGGTGCCCTTCACATAGCGAAGGATGTGCAACACAGCAGAATGATGCGTGGTTCTCGGAGCAGCCATAAACTGACTCACAATATGAACAGCATGAGCTATATCAGGCCGAGTGACAGTCAAATATATCAAACTCCCAACGAGCTGTCGATATAACGTAGGATCCTCAAGAAGAGAACCATCCAATGGAGTAAGACGAATATCATAATCAAGAGGTGTGGAAGCTGTTTGGCAATCAGTGAGACCGGCCCGAGCAAGAAGATCAGAGGCATACTTGGCTTGAGACAAATAGAAGCCATCAGAGGAATCATAAATCTCAAGACCCAGAAAATAGCGAAGACGACCCAAACTCTTCATCTCAAAATGTTGTCGAAGATAATCTTGTAAGTCGGAAATACCCGAAACATCATCCCCCGTGATGATCATATCATCAACATAGAGCAACAAAACAATGATCCCAGATGAAGAGCGCCGAAGAAATAGGGCAGAATCGTGATCACTCGTAGTGAAACCAAACTGAAACAATGCAGAACTGAACGTGGCGTACCAGGCACGAGGCGCTTGTTTCAAGCCATACAAAGCTCGGCGCAGACGACAAACCTTCCCAGAGGACAAGAACCCAGGAGGAGGAGTCATGTAAACCTCCTCAGATAATGCACCGTGCAAGAAGGTATTCTTAACATCTAACTGTAAAAGAGACCATCGACGAACTGCAGCAACTGCAAGTAAACAGCGTACAGTTGTAAGACGAGCAACCGGTGCAAATGTCTCTTCATAATCTATGCCATACTCCTGTGAGTACCCCTTAGCAACAAGACGAGCTTTGTAGCGCTCAATAGACCCATCTGAATTTGTTTTGATCTTGTAAACCCATTTGCATCCGATGGGTTTCTTGCCAGCAGGTAGATCAACTAGATCCCAAGTATGAGTCTTGTCTAAGGCCTGCAATTCCTCAA